AAGGTCAAGATCAGGACTTGAGCTTGCCAGGGGCAAGGCCCAGGCGGCTACCTCCTCCTGTCTGCAAGGGGCTCACTTGCACCTCTATCCCCATCTCATACCAGAACTGGGTGCTTAGACCCCCAGTCACCCGCCCAGGAGAACTTGGAGTCCTCCTTCCTTTGTCCTTTACTCCCACAACCACTTACTCTCTCCCTGTGTGTCTCCGGATCCACAAGGGGGCAGTGTTGCCTAGCGGTTAGGCTCACACAGTGGGGTTGGTGTGCAGATGAAGGGTCAGATCTCAGCTCTACCACTTCATCAGTCAGGGAAACAGCTCTTAGCTTCTCTGTGCCTCATTTTTCATCTGAACAGTGAGGGGCGATAACAGATCCTATTTCATAGGATATTGAGGAGGTGAAGCCAGTTAACATTTGTGAAGAACCTGGAACAGTGCCTGGAACACAATAAGTACTGTCTGTGGAGCCTATGAGTAAGTTCATATGCAGGTGCTTCTATGACAGTGTATGACGAGTATTGTTGTTGTTTTCCTGGTTTGCTTTATCTCTTATCTTTTTATGTCCTAGTCTTTCTCTATCTGTGTCCACTTTTTTTCTCCACTGGAGTCACGAACTCTGCTGCTTCCTGGGGCCCAGGAGGTAATGAAAATGAAGGAAGCCACCGGGTGTGGACCAGGAAACTGGCAGGCAGCCCCCAGGGCTGTGGCCACTCAGAATATGCTGCTGATGGATTATGGCCATGGGAATGCAGACACGATGTTGACTTTTCCAGAGAAGCTTGAAATCTCCTGATCTGTCAATGTTGGTGGCCAATTGAAAAAAAAAATGCCCAGAATAGAGAGCCCAGAATAAACCCACACATATGTGGTCAACTGATCTTAGACAAGGGTGCCAAGAATACACAACGGGGAAAGGACAGCCTCTCCAACAAATGGTGTGGGGGAAACTGGGTATCCACATGCAAAAAAATGAAATTGGATCCCTATCTTATGTCTTACACAAAAATCAACTCAAAGTGGACTAAAGAGGGGTGCCTGGGTGGCTCAGTCGATTAACATGATCTCACTGCTTGTGAGTTCAAGCCCCGCGTCTGGCTCTGTGCTGACAGCTCAGAGACTGGAGCCTGCTTCAGATTCTGTGTCTCCTTCTCTCTGCCCCTCCCTGACTTGCACTCTGTCTCTTTCTCTCAAAAATAAACATTAACAGGGGCGCCTGGGTGGCTTAGTCGGTTGAGCGTCCGACTTTCGCTTAGGTCATGATCTCGCGGTTCGTGGGTTCGGGCCCCGCATCGGGCTCTGTGCTGACTGCCAGCTCAGAGCCTGGAGCCTGTTTCAGAGTCTGTGTCTCCCTCTCTCTCTCTGACCCTCCCCTGCTCATGCTGTCTCTCTCTCTCTCTCTCCTAGAAATAAAATAAAAATTTGAAAAAAAAAACATTAACATAAATAAATAAATAAACAAATAAATTAAAATAAAAGTTCAAAGTCAGTTCGTCTGCCACACGCATGTTTCAAGTGCTCAGTAACTGTGGCTGGTGGCTGCCGTGATGGACACAGAAAATCTAAATCCACCCGGCAGGAAATGTCTCAGTCACACTTCTGGGGTCTCCTAACCTCCCCTGCAAGGTAGTGACAGAAAACTCAACTTGGTTGGTGCTAGAAAAATGGGGGGGGGGGTGCAGGCCCTTGGTGCATCATGGAGGTACCATCTTAACTTCTGCTCCTTTGGTATTTGCTGAGCTCCCTCTCAAACCCTGTTGCCGCAGAGGGGCTGGGAGATGCCCTCTATGGTGGTCCCTACAGCCTACAGCCACCCTGCCACTGTGCTTGTGGTCAGGATACATTTTCTGTGGCTCCACAGGCTGGCATAGGATATAATTCTCTCTCTGTCCAGTAACACCCCCTCCCCAAGTCCCTCTCTCCATCCTCTCCCACTCCAGGCAGACCCCAGGATTGCCCCCACTCAGCACTGGCCTCTCTCCTCCCTGGGACAGGAGTGGAGAAGGGAGATGCCCATATGAGGCTTGATGGGGTTTTTCCTACTGAATCCTCCATTGCTCTTAATAAAGAAGGAAATCACTTCACTTCTCTCCGGGTAATATAATCTACCCCAGGGTGGATTTAGTTATTGAGTGGGATGGGTTGGAGCCATGGCAGAGCCACGTCCCTCTGGGAATAGACTGAATGGGTCCGAGTGGAAGTAGAGAGTGTCTGGCAGGGAGAGGAGAGCCCAGGTGAGGAAACTGCTCAGAAAGGTCTGACTTTCTTTTTGGAGATGCTACCCAGAGTGGAGAATCAGAGGGGACTCTTGAACAGGGTGCCACTTATTCAGAACGGGGCCTGGGGGCTGCAGCGGGTAACTCTGGGGGAAATTCAAGCTCCCTTTTGTTTCTGCTTTTAAATGAATTCTCGGGCGCCTGGGTGACTCTGTCGGTTGAGCATCTGAGTGTTGATTTCAGCTCAAGTCATGATCTCAGGGTCATGGGATCAAGCCCCGCATTGGGCTCTGCACTGAATGCGGAGCTTGCTTAAGATTCTCTCTCTCTCTCTCTCTGTCTTTCTGCCCCTCCCCTGCTCTCTCTCTCTCACACACACACACTCTCTCTCTCTCTCAAATAAAAATTTTAAAAAAATAAGATGACTTCCAGGATGCATAATAATTTATCCATCTCTGTCTCAATCTCTGTCTCTATCTCATTTTAGGTCTCTGTCTCTGTGTATCTCTCTGTGTCTCTGTCTGTCTTCATCTCCTGTCTCTCTCTGCTTTTATCTCTTCTCCCAGTTCTCTCTCCCTCTCTCTGTTCGTCTCAGTCTCCTTGGCTCTGTGACTTTCTCACTCTGGGCCCAGTCTCTCTGCTTACCTCTGTCTCTCTTTGTCTCTGTCTCTGTCCATCCTCCATGCCAGCCTCGGTTCTGAGCCATGGAGCCCTGTTCCTGGGCCCACAGTCCAAACCGCTTCCCCCTGCCGGGCCGATCGCATCTCCACTGCCTGGCTCCCCCACAGCTGTGTCCTGGACGCATCCTCAGATAAGTGGGTCACATCTGCCTGATCTTGGCCAGGACAGGGCATAGGAGAGGCCACGAAACAGGGTCAGAAGGACATGATGATGTCTGCTTCTTGTCTCTCCTTTCAGCTGCCCAACCTATGTCCCAGCACCAGCCCCAACCGGCCTCCTACCACCATCCAGGCCTTCGTCACATCTGGGCAGCTGTGAGACATGCACCCACCCTGCACCCCTCACCTCCTCCTAGCCTCCTCTGTCCTCATGGTCCGAGCTACTGGTCCCAGGAGCAGGGCAGGGTCAAGGGTCTGTATGCCACCAGGAGACTGAACACAAGCAGATACATCGAGACACAGCTAGAGAACCAGACAGGCACCAAGAAAGGGCGAGTGGCAGAGAGAGAAGGGGTCGGAGAGACAGAGAGAAGCAGACATTCGTGCTTCGTCATCACCACCATCTGTCGCCCAACCTCTCATCAGTGCTGCCCACACCTGTTCCTTAGGTGATCTCACCCACCCTATGGCTCTAAACACCACCTGTCCCCTACGACGCCCCACTGCTTCCCGCCAGCGCTGACCTCTGCCTGCCCCTCGGCCTGCCCACGCATCCAACCGCTTGGCTCCCCACAGACACCCCCAGCTCAGCCCTCGCCCTCACATCACCTGGCTCGCCTCCACAAATGGCACCACAAGTGGTCAGACCAAGCCTCGGAGACACCCTTTACCCTCCGCCCCCACTTCCCACCCATTGGTCAGTATGTTGACTCTCCCTCCACAATGAGCCCTGCACCCATGCAATTCCTCTTCTCCCTGGACCACAGCATCGCCCCGCCTGGGCTGCTGCCTCTGTGTTGGTGTCTGCTCCCTTCTCACCCTACAGTCCTTCATTCTCCACGCAGGATGTGTCTTTAAAGTAAACAAGATCACGTCACTCCTTCTACCCCTGTGCTTAAAATCCATTGCCCTTAAAATAAACCCAAATGTCTTCCCCACGCTCGAACCCTGCACTGCCTGCCTTGTTCCATCTCACTCCGCCTCACATACACCAAGTTCTCTCTTTTTCCTGCAAGGCTCACACGGCATAGTGACTGCCAATCTAAATGTCCCCTCTTCTGTCTCCCCAACCATCTTGTCCGCAGGAAGTCCCCCCTCCCTGCCCCTGTCACTCTACCATCACCCATGTTCTCTACACACACGTCCCTACCAGATATTTCCCTGTAGTTTTCCTGTTTGTCTGTCTCCCCCACTAGGATGTGAGCCCATGAGCCCCAGAATTTGCTCGCTCCTTCCTGCATCTCCAGCTGGGACAGCAGGAGCTCAGAGCATAGCGCGTGCGTAATTGCTCTTTAATGAGTGAGAGCTTCGTCTTGCTCCCACTTACAGGGCGCCTCCGATATGCCTGACACCATGCCAAGGCACTTGCCCCGCACTACCTCTTTGGATGTATTTTGGGAGCGAGGGATAACAGTTCCCCTGTTTACAGATGGGGAAATGGAGGCTTAGAGGGATGCAGCCACCCCCAGGGTTACAAAGGTAAACCATGATGCAGTCTGGATTTGAACCCAGGAAGGCTTGCTGGGGAAGCACAGCAGGGAAGAGAGAGAGAGGTTTAGTAAGAGAGAAAATAAGAGAACATGGGAGGGAGAACATGAAAGAGACCAGGAGAGAATAAGAACACGAGGGAGTGAGAGAGACAGCCTCAGAGGGGCTCTGAGTCCAGGGTGTCCTCGCTGGGTCGCTGCTCCCAGTCCCCGGAGCCCCCTGACCTTAGCCTGACACCAGGGCAGCCCCGAGAGCTCTGAGATGGAAACTTGCAGCACCTGACCCCAGGAATGTGTCCCCAGGGGGCAGGCCGGCCCAGCTGGGAATGCTTATAAGTCCCAAGGGAGCCCCTTTAGGAGGCAGTAGGCGGAAGCCTCGCCCAGCGCAGAATCCGGAGCCCAGAGGCAGCAAGGTGAGCGGCCCGCGGTGCCCGCCCCCGCGCACCCCCCCCTCGGAGCGCAGGCCCCTGCAGCCTCGCGACCCTGGGGCTCCAAGTCTCCTCTCCAAAAAGGTCTCTCACTCTCTCTCTAGTTAGGGATGTCTCTTCATTTCTCTCTCTGGCTCTGCTCTTTCTGTTTCTCTGAATGTCTCTGGCTCTCGGTCTATCTCTGATTATCTTTCGCAAGTGCTCTGTGTCAGTCCCAAGTCCGACCCTCGGGCCAGGTCTCTGCGCTCCTACTCTCCCAGTTTAGAGAGAGAGGGATACTTCCTCGTCCCTTCCTCTCCACCTAATGCTCTCTCTTTCTACTTCTCTCCCCCTCTTTCTCTCTCCCTCTCTAAATCTCTCTAGGCTCTGGCACTCTGGGCTAGGATCTCAAACCTACGGTGTGTGTGTGTTGGAGGGCAGGGGTGGCATACATAGGTCCTTGTCTGACCAATAATATCCTTAAGGGGACAGAAAGAGAGGGAGACAGAGAAAGATGGAGAGATTTGGGCTCTTAAGTCCCCCAGACTCACCAGAGGCTGACCCTCGTGCCCAGGTCCTGACGTGATGACCGCAGCGGGAAGCCCCTGGGGCTGGTTCCTAGGGTACCTCATCCTCGGTGTCACAGGTATGAGTGTGTGTGGTGTGTGTGTGACTGTGCCCGAGGGCACAGTGTGTGGGCGTGACTCAGTGTCCTCCTGGACACAGGCTAAAGCTGCCTGTGTGACAGTACCATGTGAGCGTTGCTCTCTGGTCACACATGTGATTCCTTGTATCATAGGGAGTTTCTGTGTGTGCCCTTGGTGTACTCTGTGTGTGTGTGTGTTTTGCACACCTCTGTGTGTGACACAGGGTGATGGGCTGTGTGGTCAAACCCATGAGAGTCGGTGTGTTACTGGGTGAAGGATTCTGACAGTCTGTGCCTCTAAATATGCTCGGAGTGACAACGGTGGACGGTGCGGTGAGGACATGAGAAGCCCAGGGTGCTGCTCACAGGGAGGTCGTGCTTCTGGGGAAGTCACCCATTGCCGGGAATCTATGCCTACCTCCTGGGTCTCTGATCCACGGACTCGCAGGAGCGACGTGATAGGGTTTCTGTGTGAGCCGGCTGTTGCTGGTGGCTGAGCCGGGAAGGGCGTGACTCTGAGGGCCACCAAGAGTGACACTTGAGCGTCTGGCTGTGTCACCCTTGTCGCTGAACCCTATATGAGGGGTTCTGCTTGCGCTGGGGGACTGTGGCCCGGCTATTGCACGAAGCTGATGTGGTGCTAGTCGGAAAGGGGCAGGGAGGGAGGGAGAGAGAGATGGAGATGGGGCGTGGGTCTTGGAGATGGGTGTGACCGGCTCAAAGCTGAAACTCCCCAGGAGGACAGACCCCTCTCCTCTCCTCTGATCTCCGCTTCCGTCTCCCACCCCAAGAAACCTGATCTGGCCCATAAAATCTCTGCACCAGGACCCCGCCCCCAGAAGATCTAGTCCCACCTCCTGAGCCAGCCTCCGCAATCCTGACACCGTCCCTAGGAGCCCTGAGTGCGCTCAGGGTCCCTAACTCCAGCCTTGAGGTCCTGGCCACGCCCCTGAGCCACAGCCCCGCCCCACGGCACTGGCCACGCCCTCTGCACTGTGACCCCGCCTCCACGAGCTCTAGTCCTGCCTTTTGCGCCTGCCCCCCCCTCCCCCCAGCCTGGCCCACGCCCCTGGATCGATTCCTGCGCTTAGGAGCCCTGGATCCACCCAGAGACCATCCCCAGTCCTGACTACACCCTTGAAGCCCTGACCACGCCCCCAGCCCGTGGCCACGCCCCTTGGGAGCCCGCTCTCCACCCGGAGCCCAACCCCCATCCCTGATCCGCCCTCAGGATCCCAGGCCTCGGGTGCGGGCAGCCACATCATAAACGGCGAGGACTGCATCCCTCACTCGCAGCCCTGGCAGGCGGCACTGTTCACGGAAGACGAATTTTTCTGCGGGGGCGTCCTGGTGCATCCGCAGTGGGTGCTATCAGCCGCACACTGTTTCCAGAAGTGAGTGCTGGGCGGGGTGGGGGCGGAGGCAAGGGCCGGGGGCAGGCGGGGGCGGGGTGCCTGGATGTAACTTCAGCTCAGCCTTGGTGCTACGAGCGGAAACCTCGGTAAAGCGAGACTCTGCAAGGGAAGCGGAGGCCGGTGCCTGTGAAAGACTCAGGCAGTCCAGGAGCGAAGTCCCCGCTCAGCTGCTGAGTCACTAGTGAATTAAGACAAACCCTTGTCGCGGGATAAGTTGGTTGCGTGGGTGAGGATTTGAGCTCACAGATGGGTAGCTCCGGGCGCGGGTTGTGGTTGAGGGCGAAGGTGGAGATAACGGCGTAGTTGCCACAAAACTCCTCTGTCCCTACGGCCCTCAGGTCCTACACCATCGGGCTGGGACTGCACAGCCTGGAGGCCAGCCAGGAGCCAGGCAGCCTGATGGCGGAGGCCAGCTTCTCCGTACAGCACCCAGAGTACAACAAACCCTTTATCGCCAACGACCTCATGCTCATCAAGCTGAAAGAGTCGGTGTTCGTGTCGGACGCCATCCGGAACATCAGCGTCGCCTCCCGATGCCCGACCGCTGGGGAGTCTTGCCTCGTTTCTGGCTGGGGCCAGATGGCGAGTGGTGAGCTCGTGAGTGTGAGTGTGTCGCCGCGATTTCTGAAGGGTTCTCCCCCGGGCCGGAGGGGCTGACCCGGGGCTCTGCGTCGCAGGCAGGCAGCCCCAAGTGCTCCAGTGCGTGAATATCTCGGTGGCGCCCGAGGACGTCTGCAGGGAGGTCTACGCCCCGGTGTTCCACCCCAGCATGTTCTGTGCCGGCGGAGGACCGGACCGGAAGGACTCCTGCCGCGTGAGAGCTGGGGGAGAGGGGGGGAGAGGGGAAGCAGGGGAGGGGAGGGGGAGAGAGGAAGCAGGGGAGGGGAGAGGGGAAGCAGGGGAGGGGAGAGGGGAAGCAGGGGAGGAGAGGGGGGAGAGGGGAAGCAAGGCGGGGGGGAAGGGAAACAGGGGAAGGGGGGGAGGGGAAGCAGGGGAGGAGGGGGGAGAGGGCAAGCAGGGGAGGGGAGGGGGGACGATGGAGAAGGGAGGGAGGCAGAGACCCACAGGGCACGTGGGGAGAAACAGACACGCGGAGACGGAGGGAGAAACAGAGGGATATCGACCTGAGAGTAAAGAGAAACAAAGAAAGAGAGAATAGAAATAGAGGCAGAGATAGCAAAGGCACAGAGAGAGAGAGAGAGAGAGAGAGAGAGAGAAATACTTCGGAGAGAAACAGAGACATAGACTCATAGAAATGAAATGCAAAGAGAAATAGATTTAAAAAAAACACGGAATATGCAAAGAGATGCAGAGATGCATGGAGACTCTGGGAGGCAGAGGCAGAGCAACAGCCATGGGGGAGATTAAAACAACAGAACAACAAACCTAGGAGAATCAAGCAGCTGTTGGGACCTAGGGGAGCAGAATTCCGGACGGTCAGGGCTCTGGCAGGGACCTCTGAGGTGTGTGTTGCTATCTTTGATTTTCCTATCTTAGTCCTTTGGTATCATTTGGTTCCTTTCTGACCTCAATCTGTCTCCACCTCTCCATGTTGGATTCTCCCTCTCTCCCCAACAACAGGGTGACTCTGGGGGCCCCCTGGTCTGCAACGGGTCCCTTCAGGGCCTCGTGTCTTTTGGACAAGTCCAGTGTGGCCAACCCCACGTGCCTGGCGTCTACACCAACCTCTGCAAGTTCACTGACTGGATACAGAAAACCATTCAGCACAGTTAACTTCTGGGACTTGGACCCAAGGAACTCAACCTCCAAATATATGCTGCAGAAGGATTCCAGAATCTGGGGCCACCCCGGTGCCTTCCTCCCTCAGACCCAGCAGTCTAGACTCCCAGCCCCCTCCTTCCTTAGCCCCAGGAATCCAGTCCCACCAAGAATCTTTTTCTCTACCCAGTGCCTCCTAGTGGCACAATGTTGACTCAGCCTTACCACAGGCAGAGAAAGTTGGTTTTTCACTTTTGTCCCCTTCTCTTAAGCCCAAAAATAAAGTCTAAGAGAAACACAGGCTCTGTTTGGACTGCCCTCCTCGTTTCCATTCCCATTCAAAGGATTCTAGCAAGTAGCTTTTCCTCCTTTGGCCTCAGTTTCCCCCAGGAGGGCCACCGGATTCCCAAAGAAGGAGATACACGTGAGAGGTTAAGAGAAACGGGTTCTGTGAATGTTATCCAACTTCAGAAAAGTCAAGCCAGAAAATGGCAAATTAATGAGGTTTTTTTCTTGCTTAGTTTATTTAGGTTTGGTTGACTTGTTTTGGTTTCATCTTCCTAAGTGCGTTTTAAGAAGTTTTCATTTGTATCTGCCTCAGGACCCTGCTGCTGTTAAGTAGGGGATGGTAGGAAGAATCATGGAAAGATAGGGAGAGCGGGGAAAGAGATGGGGGAGAAGACTGAGGGCCCATGGATATAAGGAATTGTTATCATATTCTTTACTGAAAAATTATATTAATAAGAATATACTACTAACAATTTCTATTCAAGAATATATTCATAGATATATTGTTTGGGAATCTATTCATCTGGAGATATTCCTCAAAATATATAGAGTAAGGAGTGAAATAACTAAAAGTGAAAAAAAAAACCCATCCTTACTCATTGAAAAGGATTTAAAGATGCCTCTTGGGGGCACTTGGGTGACTCAGTCAGTTGAGCATCCAACTCTTGGTTTCGGCTTGGGTCAGGATCCCAAGGCTTGCATCAAGCCCCATGTTGGGCTCTGCATTGAGCATGCAGCCTGCTTAAGAATCTCTCTCTCTCTCTCTCTCTCTCTTTCTCTCTTTCTCCCTCTCTCTCTCTTCCCTCCCCCTGCCCCTCTCCCCTGCTCACATGCTCTCTCTCTCTAAAAAAATAAAAATAAAAAAATAAAGATGGCTCTTAGAAAATAATAGAATGGAGGTACCTGACTGACTCAGTCAGTAGAGCATGAGACTCTTGATCTCGGTGTTATGAGTTCAGGCCCCACGTTGGACATGGAACCTAAGAAATAAGGAGAGAGAGAGAGAAGGAGAGGAAGGAAGGAAGGAAGGAAGGAAGGAAGGAAGGAAGGAAGGAAGGAAGGAAGGAAGGAAGGAAATAGAACAAAGAAGATAAAAGTGAATAAGGACATAGATGATCTGAACAATAGGATTAACAAACCTTATTTAGGGGTGCTGGATGGCTCAGTCAGTTAAGCTTCGGACTTAAGCTCAAGTCATGATCACACGGTTCATGAGTTCAAGCCCCGCGTCAGGCTCTGTGCTGACAGCTAGCTCAGAGCCTGCAGCCTATTTCAGATTCTGTGTCTCCCTCTCTCTCTGACCCTCCCCTGCTCATGCTATCTCTCTCTTTCTCTCTCTCTCTCTCTCTCTCTCCCTCTCAATCTCTCTCTCTCAGAAATAAATAAACATTAAAAAATTTTTTTTAATTTATTTAATGGTTACATATAGAACATTGCACCCAGTATCTGAAGAATATACAATCCTTCCAAAACACACATATCTACCAGAATGGCTAAAATTAAAAGGAATCACAGTACCGGGTATTGGTTAATGTGTAGAGTGGCCGTAACTCCTATACGTTGATGAGGGGATGTAAATGGTACAACTGCTTTGGAAAACAATTTGGCAGTTTCTGAGAAAGATGAGCATATGTCTACCCCTAGGTCCACCCATAGGTATTTATGTAAGAGCAATGAAAAAAAATAGACTTGCCAAGAATGCTCATAGAAGCTTTCCTCATGATAGCCTAATTGGAAACAGCCCAAATGTCCATAAAAAGGGTGAATGACAAACTATGACATCTTCATTCAATAAAATGCTACTCAGTAATATACCCAACAACATAGATGCATCTCAAAATCATTATGCTGAGTGAAAGAAGCCAGACACAAAATACTACACACTGTATGATTCCTTTTATATATGAAATTCTCAAACAGATGAGACTAATCATGGGATGGGAAGAAGTAAATGTGGAAACAGTGGGAAGCTATGTGAGAGAACTTTCTGAGGAGATGGAAATTTTCTAGAACTTGACAGGAGTGAGGGCTACAAGGGTCATGCATTTCTCAAAACTCATTGAACTGTATACACTTGAAATCTGGATATTACACTCTATATATGTCAATTAAAAAATTATACCTCAAAAAAAATTATACCTTCAAAAAAACTTGACACAGCGTTTGCAAAAAGTGACCAGATACTGAGCTATGAAGCAAGTCTCGTCTCAATTTTCAAAATTATAATATATAGAGTATGTTGTCTGACCACAAGGTAATTACACAGAAATCATGACAAAATGATCCCCCACATGTTTTCATTTTTCAAATACGCTTCTAAATAACCCACAGCTTGGGGCGCCTGGGCAGCTCAATTAGTTGAGTGTCCGATGTCGGTCCGATGTCCAGTCATGGTCTCATGGTCTGTGGGTTTGAGTCCTGCGTCGGGCTCCGTGCTGACAGCTGGGAGCCTGGAGCCTGCTTCAGATTCTGTGTCTCCCTCTCTTTCTGCCCCTCCCTCGCTCATGCTCTGTCTCTGTCTCTCTCAAAAATAAAATAAACATTAAATTTAAAAAAAAAAAAGAAGAAAAGTTGAAAGCAAAAGATTGGGAAGAGTTTTAAGAAATATTACCCCTAAGAAGGATAGTATAGCTTTACTGATATCAGTCAAATGAGCCATTAATACTAAAACCATCACTAGACAAAGCAGGTCACTGCAAAGTAATAATTCTTCATAAAAATTTGTGTAACAAATGCAACAATTCAAAATTTGAATATTCCTAATAAAATAGCTTCATAATACTTAATATAAAAATTAGTAGGAGTATCCAGGGAGAAAAGGGGCAATCCACCCCATGGATGTGTGAGATTTCAACGTCACTATCATGCAAAGGATCTGGTATCACATAGGCCACGTTCTCCAAGCATGATGAAAGAAAATTACAATTCAATATACACATCAACATAATACCAAGACACTCAGGGTTAAAACTCAACCACTCATCTGAATAATTCATGATAAAAATTAAATTATAATGGACAAAAATGGATGAAAAAGTCATAGTGGAAAAATGTTCACCTTAGAACTGAATGATAAATAAAAATATGACATATGAGGGGTGCCTGGGTAGCTCAGTCCAACTCTTGATCTCAGCTTAAGAGATCATAATCTCTCCGTGAAATCAAGCCCCGAATCAGGCTCTGCACTGACAGCAGGGAGCCTGCTTGGGATTCTCTTTCCCTCTCTCTCTACCCCTCCCCAGCTCTCTCTCACGCACGCACACACACACTCTCTCAAAATAAATAAATAAACTTTAAGCAATAAAAAAATATGACATAGGAGGGGCGCCTGGGTGGCTTAGTCGGTTAAGCGTCCGACTTTCGCTTAGGTCATCATCTCCGGTTCGTGGGTTCAAATCCCGCGTCGGGCTCTGTGCTGACTGCCAGCTCAGAGCCTGGAGCCTGTTTCAGAGTCTGTGATTCCCTCTCTCTCTGACCCTCCCCTGATCACGCTGTCTCTCTCTCTCTCTCTCTCTCTCTCCTAGAAATAAATAAAACATTTTTTAAAAATATAACATAGGAAAACTTGTGCAGGGCAGATTTATTACATCTAGGGGCACTTGGCTGGCTCAGTCAGTAGAACATGTGTGTTTGAGCCCCATGTTGGGTACATAGATTACTTAAAAATAATCTTTGAGGTGCCTAGGTGGCTCAGTTGGTTGAGCATCCAATTCTTGATTTTGGCTCAGGTCATGAACTCCTAATGGTGAGACTGAGCCCTCAGGGCTCTGTGCAGAGCATGGAGCTTGCTTAAGATTCTCTCTCTCTCTCTCTCTCTCTCTCTCTCCCTCTCCCCTTTTTTCCCATTTGTGTGCTCTCTCTCTAAAATAAATTTTTTTATTAAAAATAAAATATTAAGAAAGAAAGAAAGAACAGGAAGGGAAGGGAAGGGAAGGGAAGGGAAGGGAAGGGAAGGGAAGGGAAGGAAAGGAAAGGAAAGGAAAGGAAAGGAAAGGAAAGGAAAGGAAAGGAAAGGAAAGGAAAGGAAAGGAAAGGAAAGGAAAGGAAAAGAAAGGAAAGGAGGAACAGGTGAATATAAAGGACCTAAGGTGTTAGACAAAGAATAATGAATAACCCTAACTCAAAGGAGACTGAGATGGGGAAACCTCCAGAAATAAAGAGGAGGTGCTAGCTGAGGTGAAAGCAGCCTGGGGCTCTGGATCAGAAGTGATTGACCCTGACCCATCTATAAACACCCTGATTGGGGTCTGGGAAGTGGGTGGGCTGGAAGATGGCAGTATCTGACCCACAAGGTGTATGTCTACCAGCCATAAGGATAGGAAAATCCTGAGAAGGGGAGCTTGTAAGCCTCAGTGTGGCTTCTGGAAGCAGTGGCAGATTCAAGCCCAACCCAGATCAGCCTGATGAGTGAATAATGGGGAGTGTCTGTGTTCTGCCTCTCTGGCCCCCATGTCACTTTTTGGGTCTCTGATGTCTCTGTCTTTCCATCTGCAAGTCTCTGAGTCTGTATCTCTGGCTCAGTAACTTCTCTCTTCCTCTGCCCCTCTCTCTATCCCTGTATCCTCCAGACTCAGCACCCATCAGCTCTCCTGTCCAGCTCTGACATTCTTGCCTTCTCTCTCTCTCTCTCTCCATGTTTCTGTATCTCACTCTGTTTCTCTTTCTCTGGTTTTTTTTTTTTTTAGTCACTGTCATGTCATCTTCCCTCTGCTGACACTGCTCTAAATTGTCGCTGACACTTTCTGTCTCTGGGCTGTCTCACACTCTTCCTTCAGTGTCTCTAGGCTCTGTGTCTCAGGGCTGAAATCGCAGGGTCAGGATAAAGTGCCCTTTCTGCAGCCCTTCTCTGTCCAGAGATCTCCTGGGAGACAGTGGAGGAACGGAGTGAGAGGTGGACAGACCCGAGCTAACAGCTTCAGACTCACCCAAGGACTTGGTGGACGGGAGACTTCCCACAAGTCTTGCGTGGGCAACAGAGGACCCGTCTTGGGCAGGGGGAGACTGCACATGTGAGATGATGTGTGCACCCAGGTACGTGTGCAACTGTTGAGTCTTGGGGAGAGGTGAGGTGTAGAGTCAGAGGGATCCAGAAGAGGGGTGCCAATCTCTAGGGTTTTTTTTTTTTTTAATTTAAATCCAAGTTAGCTAACACATAGTGTAATAATGATTTCAGGCCAACCTCTATTGTTCTTCATGATAGACTTTGTCCCGGGCTTCACCCGCCTGAACCTTCCTTGGTCTTGACCTCGCCCCCTGAACTCTGGCCCCGCCCTGAGCCCTGACTCCTCCCCTTGTGCTCTGACCCCGCCCCCAGGAGTCGAGGCCAATGGTGGCCAAAGCCCCATCTCTGATAGCACGTGGTGCAGACCACCCTGGAACATGGCCATCTTGCAGGGAGGACCCCACTGCATCCCCCGTGGGTTGGGTCCTCTTGGCTGTGAGTGCAGGGCTGGGGGCGAGGCCTGGGGCTGGGGTCGGGGCTCATCTCTGGGGTGCGGCCTGAGAAGAAGAGGGAGCGCTTTTCCTCAGCAGTGGAAAGGTGTCAGGAGCGAAGCTGGAGAGGGGTTGAGACTGGAGATGGATTCGCCGAAGAATTGCTTGTGGATGGAATTGAGAGGGACCATCTCGAGTTGGGGCGCAGATGAGGGGAGGCTGCCAGGGCACGGATGAGCTGAGCAGGGAGAGGGGTGGGCCCATCCACAGCGGCCACAGCATCAGGCTGGGTCCGCACAACCTTGGTGCGCACCGAGAGCCCGGCAGCCAGACCGCACGCTCGCCAAACCGAACTCAGCAACCACAGAGCCAGAACCGGGTCAGCACCAGCAGCGTCACCATCTGGTGTCTGGCTGGCACTTACGTCCTAGAGTGAGTCTTTCAGTCACTGTCACTGCCATGTGCCCGTGGGGGGCTCTCTCCCTGATGGGTCTGCCCCCATCCGTGTCTCCGAGGCTGGCTCCTATCCCAGGCGACGGCCCAAGCGTCCTGCAGCGTGTGATTGCCCCAGTGGTGTCAGAGGGGGTCTGGGGTGTGTGCTATGCACTGCATTCCTTCTACCTCAGTTCCCTCTTGATTCACTCTCTTTTGGGCCTCATGGGCAACGGGCTGAGGAAACTGAATTCCTTGCTTCATGGAACTTTGATTCAGCATCCATGACCAGCCCTTTCACCGTGTTTATATTTGTTTCACTGACTCACACCCTCGAATAATGATTCCCTCTTATCCCCATAGTCCACTCCCACTCCCCACTCCCCAGAAGCACCCCTTCTAGTGCTTTCATTGGGCATCATGACTTGATTGTGCTCGGCAGAATGAGTGTTTGTGAGCTCACACTAATTTATGTAAAGCTATTATGCTCCATAACTCATCGTGTGTTCACCTTTTTCACTCATGGCTGAGTTTTTAAACTCCATCCTTGGTGTCCTTTGTCTGCTTTGTACTTCCTACCCTGCTCAGGGCCTCATGGGAAATGTTAGCACATGTCACTGTCCACCCTCCCAGGGTGGACACCCATCCCTCCCACAAAGGACATGGCCACCCTGTGTCTCTGCAGAACCTGATGTCTCCAGACATTCCTTATGTCCCCTGGAGGTGGTGGTGGGTGGGGTTTGCCCTCATTTGAAAACCACTGGTCTTCCCCTTCCACTGCAGGACACAGGCTGGGGGGGGGTGTCCTTAGCTTCCAGGCGCAACACATCTAGAAAGGCTAGATGATGCCAGAATTTTGTATGTATTTAGTTTGCATAAGGGGAGCGGAATGGCAAGAGGATTCAAGTGTTGGCCGCTATGGTCTCCTGGATCCACTGCAGGTAGGGAGTCAGTTTGGTGTAGACGGCAGGCATACTGGAGTGGCGACATGGGATGTGGCCCCAGGACATGATTCCTTGAAGCATACCATCACAGATCAGTGGGCTCCCCGAGTCACCCTGCGGCACAAGGAGGAGAGGAAAAGAAAGCTCAGCAAGGTCACGGGGTCAGTCTGTAGAGCTCCCCCTCCAAGACCTGGGTTCACAGAGAACAGTGACTCCCCAGCTCCAGGAAAAGTCACAGTTCTCTCCAGGGTCCACTGCCAGAGGGCCGGCGGGATTCCAACAGAGGAGACAGCGGCTTAAGTCCTGGCCAACAGGGGTGGGACTTCAGGGTCGAGTTTCTGCGCAGGGGGCAGGGTCCGGGAGAACGGTCCCAGACAACAGGTCAGTGGGGAAGGCGGGTGGGACCTTCAGGACTCATCTCTGATGTCACCTCTCCCAAACAGCTTTCTTGGACAGGATACCACTCCACAGGGCACTGGGGGACCATGGAAGGAGGTGAGCAGGGAGGAACAGGTTCAGTTCTGAGATGAGAATGACCCCCTGGGGCAGGACAGGATGGAATGGAGGGGGAATGAGGGACAGAGGAGTGTAGACAACGCTGGGATGAGGGTCCAGCTGCAAGAAGGACAAGCATAGGTTGAACTAGGCAATGGACACAAAGCGACAGTGGGTGAGACAGGTAGCAGGAGCAGCCAGGCTTGGGGAGGGATGGGTTGGGGGAGAAGTTGGGGGCGTGGCCCGGAGACTGGGGGACTTACAGACCCAGGGGTGGAGGAGGCAGTAGGCTTGGTGGAAAGTGCTGGGCTCACGTGGGGCTTGAGGAGGTGAAAGACTGGGCTCCCACCTGCATGTTGGGGGGGGGCATGGGGGGGACATCGTGAGTGTAGATGTGTCCTTGGGGCTGCTCAGCTGAGAGACTAGGGCCAAAGCTCAGGTCATCCCGAGTCCTGTCTGCCCCTCTCCTCACTCATACTCGCTCAGCAAACCCTGGGGCTCTCTGTAGAGCTGTCAGAAGCGGACCCCTTCTCCCTCCCCGCCTCCACCCTGCCCAGCCCCGTCCTCAGCCGCCTCTCCTCACCCCTGTGGTCTGACCCACACAGATGCCTGAGGGACCCGTGAACACCCAAGTCAGGCCCTGCCCTGCTTCTGCTCAGCATCGCCCGTGGCCCCCGGGCCCCTCAGAGGAACAGGGGCGCCCTCCCCGTGCTCCCAGGTGAGGACCCACAGGATGGGTCCCTTTCTTCCCTCTGGCGTCACCCCCCCCACACTTGGCTCCATCCACACTGGACTCGCTGACACCCTCACACACACCAGGCCCACATCCCTCGGGGCCTCTGCGCCTGCTCTTCCCCCACGCTCCGCGTGGCTCACCCTCACCTGCCGCAGGTGTTCGCTCTATGTCCCCTCCCCACGCCTTCTCCTCCCCCATCACCCCTGCTGTCTCCCCCAGCTCCACGGTGTCTCCTCCTGCCCCGTCGCAAGGCCACCTCCTGACATGCACTATCACTTCTGGGTCACGTTCACTGCTTCTGTCTGTGTCCCCTCGCACAGTGGGGCTCCGTGAGGGGCGCTGTGCTCTGCCTGGTCATTGCTGGCTTCCCAGGGGCTAGGTTGGTGCTGGGAGCGTGATAGATGCTCAGTAAATACGTGCTGCGTGGAGGAAGGGGTGGTGTGGGGGACTGAGGTGCGGGTAGTGCTGGATGGGGGAGTGGGATAGGCAGGCGCTGAGGCCCCCAGGGGGCGGAGCTACAGCTGGGCGGGGGGGGGGGGCGACAGATGCTGGTGAACCCTCCCACCCCACCTCTGAATTTAGTCCCCCCACCCCGCCCCGCCCCAAGCCATGCATAGCCCCAAGGATACAGGCTGGCTCACCAGACATTTGTTGTTTTTGCTCTCCCAGGGCCCAGCGCACAACATGTGATCTGTCACCTCCTGGGAGTGGGCCTTGGCACATTCATCATTGGACAGGAGTTTGAGGTGCACACACTGTACCTCACCATCTGTTGTGACTAGGAGCAGGGAAAAAAGGGCTGTGGCCAGAATCCTGGCCGCTCCTCAGCCCCTTGTCCCTCAGCCCCTGGAATCTGGGTCCCCCCAGCCCCCTCTTCCTTACACCCAAGTACCTGGTCTCCAGGCGGCACAGTCTGGCCCTGGAGTACGCTTACGAGGTTGGATGCGGCCCCAGCCAAAGCTATAGCAGGTGCTCCGCAGCTTGGGCTCCTGTGTAGGCAGGTTGAGGATCTGCACAGTGTCTGTTTTCTGAATGGGATATTCCAGGCGGAGCAGCATGATGTCATGTTTGTAGTCCCCTCTAGGGACGCAGGTGTAACCCTCCTGGATGCTCAGGTTGAATCCAGGGTGGGGGAAGTTTGTAGCTCCCTGGAATAATTGGGCTGGGTCTTCATGCTCAAACAGGTTGTGGAGACCCACCCAGATCTGGTAACGGCTGGGGAGAGAGGGGGTCCCAGGGGATGAGGAGAGAGGAAGGGGAAAGGGAGATGGGGCCAGGGAGCATCAGGGAGGGTCCTGGAGAGAGAGAGAAGCAAAGAGTAAACTTGGAGAGAGGCTGCGCGCAGGAAAGACTTAGAGTCGTGGAGAAATAGAGACCTTGAGAAAACGATTGGAACAGCAAGAAAGGCGGATCCAGAGACAAAGAGAAGCATCGAAAGAGAGAGCCTAAGGGGCGCCTGGGGGGCTCAGTCAGTTAAGCGTCTGACTTTGGCTCAGGTCATGATCTTGTGGTTCATGGGGTTGAGCCCCGTGTTGGACTCTGTGCTGACAGCTCAGAGCCTGGAGCCTGTTTCTCAGATTCTGTGTCTCCCTCTCTCTCCGCCCCTCCCCTGCTCATGCTCTGTCTCTCAAAAATGAATAAACACTTTTAAATTTTTCAAAAGGAAAAGAAAAAGAGAGAGCTTGAAACAGAAGAGGGAATGAGGCGGAGGGGAGAACAGTGAGCCGGAAGGAGCACAAAGGAGACGGGAGAGGAAGAGAAAAGGCAGCAACGCTGGAAAAGGGTCCTGGGGAAGAAGCAGGAGGGAAGGGACAGACAGACGGGGATGGAGAAGGAGCAGCGGGTGAAGTGACAGAAAGACAAAGAACCAAAGGAAGGAGTGAGGAACATCCGCGGGGAGGGGGGGGGCAGCAAGAGAGAGAACGGGGAGGGGGGAGGGGGGAAGGGGCTTGAGACTGCTCTCTCTCTTTCTCTCTGCAGTGGGGGCTGTGGGGTGGGGTCCCCGGCAGAAGGTGGCTTGGCCCTGAGCCCAAGGTCAGCATCCTCCTCCTTCCCTCTCTCCTCCTCCCTCTCCTTTCTCTCCCTCCTCCCGCCTCCTCCTCCTCCGCTTCCTTCTCCCCCCCCTTCCTCCTTCTTCTAGGGCTCCCACTAGGCTCCAGCTGAAGCCAGCCTCTTCCTGTGTCCCCCTGGAGTGGATCACTGTCCTGGAAGGAGGGGCTGCGCATGTGAGACCCCCTCCCTCAGAGGCATGTCAGGACAGTCCCTTCCTTTTCTCTGGGGATCCCCGTCAGTCCCATGGGGGGTGCTCAGCAGCAATGGGGGAGAGGGAGTGAAGCAGAGACCAGGAGACAGAAAGGGGGAGGGGGAGACATACATTGACAGGGATGCAGAGGGATCAGAGATGGACAGAGACATGGAGAGACACAGCGACCCAGAGGCCAAAGACAGAGGGAGACAGAGAAGAATCTTAGTCACACAGACACACAATGAAGCCACTTACAGAGAGACACAGGGAGACAGGAGAGGGACACATAGGAACCAAGTGACAAGAAGAGACAGAGACACAGGGACCAGTGGAAGACTTCCCTGGGGTTGTCCCTGCTGCTCTCCATGACAGACCAGCAATGTCTTTCTCTCCCTGAGCCCCCCAACCTCCCCTGAGGCCAATCCAGCAGCAGTGACTGGTTTTCATTCCTATAGGAGCACAGACCCCCCTCCCCAGTGCGCATACTCACCACTGATAGCAGTGAGCAGCTGTGAGCACCCACTGTGGGTGCACCAGGACGCCCCCGCACTTGGAATGGGTGAAATTGTACACAAGCGTATGCCGGGGTTGGAAACTCTTCTCACAGCCGTTGGATTCCGTCTCCTGGGTTTGGGCCTGGGACTCAGTGCCTGTGGACGGGCACTAGGTCAGGGCAGGTGAGAGGGGGGACTGGAGCTGGGACTGAGCCGTGCTCTGAGGTTGAAAGGACCTTGGTCCTAGAGGAGCATGGCAAGATGTGTGGAAAAGGTCTGGAATTCTCCAGCAGTCCCTTCATTGTGTTGATGGCCCATCCCGGGTGGGGAGAATTTCTGCTGAGATAGAGCCCATCCCAGAGATCAGGTAGGAGACAAGGCAGCATCTGGAGCAACTTGTGATGTGGAGGCCAGGTGTTTGGGGGCGATTTGGAGGTCTTGGACTAGGGGACAGGCGGCCTTGGTGGAGGTGTTGGCTCAGAGAAGAGGAAAGGTTCTAGAAACCAGTGTTAAGGACCCCAAAGGAGAGGGTCACTGACTCGAAGGGAAGAATTTGGGTACCTCAGGCTTAGATAGTTCTATGCCTGGGTGGGACTTTCACGTTCTGAGAAGTTTTCAGTATTTAGGGGATGGGTCAGAGAGCTGACAGCTGGATAGGAAAGGTCACCTGGGGGCTCAGGAGCCACAGCACTGGACCCTGGAGAGCTAGGAGGTAGGAGGGGAAGATCAGGATCCCATGATCCAGTGAAGAGGGGGCATTTCTCGGAAGAGCTGGGGAACTCCAAAGAGAGAGACAGAGATGGCCCCAGGCTGTACCTGTCTGGTAACTGTCAGAGGGTCACTGGGAGGAAGCAGGAACCCAGTGTGGCAGTAAGGACTGTGAGAAATGCAGCAGCGTGGAGAGCTAAGGAAGGTTGTGGGGTGAGAGTGGAGAGGTAGGAGGCACCTGGCACCCTATTGGGGCTGGACTGAGGGAACTGCCTGGTGAGAGGGAAGACCTTATAAGGGCAAGGGGTGGAGGAAGGCACCCTGAGAGTCAGGGCCCCTCTCCCTCTCCCAGATCCACTATACTCACCGGTCGGCCCCAGGGACATTGCCAGGTACAGGGCCAAGAACCACATGGTGGCAGGGTGTCCAGGAGGTGGCAGGCAGTGAGCTAGTAGCTGGGGAGCAACCTTGGGGAGCCTTTAAATGCCTTCACCCCCAGGGCCCCGCCCCTACTCTGCTGGCACCCAGAAGCTGGCCAAGGCCTGCCTCTCCTTCTGGGTATGGACAGCCCCAGACACCCACCCCCAGGCCTATGGAAGGGATGACAGAGCAAGGACCTGTTGTTCATAGGTCCTTAACCATGCCGGATATATTCCAGGGTCTGAGGCCAGGGCTTATGGCTCTGTTTCCTTGGTCTTGGGGACAGAGGCAGTAAGGAGGAGGCCCAGAAAGACAGAATCAACAGCTTTGGAGAATCGTGATGCCCATTACAAAGCCTCAAATGCCTACACCTGTCCCCATCCTAATCCCCATACACAACCTCAACCCAATCCCAGTGCAACCCAACCCAACCAGCCTCAACTCCACATAGGTCCAATCCAAGGCAAACGAACCCACCCAACTTAGCCTAACCAAACACAGCCCCCACATCTTCTCCATTCAAAATCAAACCAAACCCACATCATCCTCACATCGAACACAATCTTACTTCCAGGCCTTCTACATCCCCAAATACATCCCCTACCATCCCCAATTCAACCCCCACACCTTTCCCATTGAAATCAAACCAAAACCATTCCAAACCCTAACAACGCCATCTAAAACCAGCCCTCACAACATCCAGCCCAAAGTCCGTTCAACCCAACCCAACCCTGTTCCCAGTACAAACCATAACCACAACTCCACCTCCATTCTAATTGCCTTTCCTACTGCATCCCCAACCCTACCCAAAGCATTTTCTCTGGGGCAAGGGAAACCCAATCCAACCCCATCCCACTCCTAAGGCTGCCCACACCCCTCCTCCACCCATGATCCCCTCTAGGCTCTGACCTCACAAGAGTCTGTGCCCCCAGGCTCCATGTCTGCACACAACATGGTGTCCATCAAGGGCCCTGGGTAGTCCTTGTTACAAGATGTGGCCAAGATAGCACTGCCCTTGGCACAATGCAATGCATCAGGGAGACCCACTGGGGAGATAAGTGACTTTAGAGTGGACCCATAAGATCAGGCCTCTAATCCCTCTCCCAACAAAGTGGAGTCCTGGTTTTTGGATAGCAGCCTTGTGACCCTTCTCAAGCACCTTGCTACCCCTGACTTCCAGGGTTTCTGGGGTCCTTATCCCAAAAGGGCCTAAGTCAGACCCATGCAGGCCTTATCCACAAGGGGGCAGTCATGGGCAGTGCCAGGCAGTACACGTGACTCATGGGGCCACATGACATGACTAAGCTCTATGTCATACAAGGTTATGAATGTGGTCATACCATATCAACAATGTGCACACGTGTGAATCAGACATTCAGACTTAGGTACTGATAAGGACAGCACTTGAAGCTGAAATTCACTTGACATGTATATGTGATGCCAGAATCACAGCAGGTGTCCATATGTGCATATGGATGTAGGTAGTTAAGACATGAGTGCATGTGCCTACACACAAACTCAGACCTAAATTCACAGTCTCCAGTGGAGGTCTGGACATCCAATGTCAGACATGCCCACACTTGAATACAGGGTCTAGACATACAAGCTGGGGTCCTGATAAGGATACACGGGGGAGAGACATCCATATGCACTCAGGTCCCTCAAGACATGTCCACAAACATGCATCTATAAAATGGTAATATATACAGAATTTGACCTATGTGTGTTTCCATTTCCTCATCTGTTAAAGGAGGATTGTTGTAAGGGTAAATAGGTGTGTGTATGTGTGTGTGTGTGTGTGAGAGAGAGAGAGAGAGAGAGAGATAATGCTTAGAACATAGCTACTGTTTAATAAATATTAGTTATTTTAATCAAGGATACATGATATATATGGGACATATATGTGGATACTCAAGTTGTGGACACAAATATGGTCAAAGTCAAACATATATGCAGACCCCAATTAGATAGTCAAGGTCAAAATTTGATTAATCCACAAGCCACTTAGTGGTGTTTCAAAGTAGCAGGCACAAACTCAGAGACGAAGCATTCAGATGTGGCCCTAGTGGATCCGACTCCAGGGCACACCTGGAGTCAAGGTCAATTAGATAGTCAAGGTCAAAATTTGATTAATCCACAAGCCACTTAGTGGTGTTTCAAAGTAGCAGGCACAAACCCAGAGACAAAGCATTCAGATGTGGCCCTAGTGGATCCGACTCCAGGGCACACCTGGACACAGGGCCAGGCATTGAAGATGTAAGAGACATAGCAAGAGGCACAGGCAGCCAGGACAAGACGTATTTACCCATATTTACACCAGTCTTCAAGTCAGATGCTTGATATTCACGGTCTCTCATTGGGTTTCACATATGATGACAAGCTTCACAAGTGGAAGTGAGTAGGAGACAGGTACAGTCTTGCACATACAGATACACAGAGAGAGAGAGAGAGAGAAGGAGAGAGAGAGAGAGAGCTGCACTATGCACAAGTACCAAACAGGGAGTTTTCAAGGTCAAGGACTATGAACCTTTACAAGGGGATACATAGATCTATCCCCTCAAGGTCAAAACCACACACACACACACACACACACACACACACACACACACACAGAGATGCCAACACTAGGGCAGGATTTGATACAGATCATACGTACAGATGCAGTGACCACACTCATTCCCCTGCTGTTGGGATCTGGGCCCGGAACTCTGGTGAGCACAGGGCAGCAGATGTGCTGGGATGAAGAGCATGAGGAAAACAGAGCAATGTTGTCTTCCAGGGAAAGGTAGAAGGTAAGAACTGGCTCATGTTGGGAGAAGTTCTCCAGTGGCATGTCACGTGTCTTCAGAGCAAAGGAGTAAATACATTTTATACTCTCGATAGTCTATCGAGTTTGTTTTTCTATCATGCAGCCTTTCAAGATAGTATCTCCCTCAGAGAAGGTTTGTTTACTGTCCGTAATAACCAAGATAATATCTGTTTATGGCCAAGGACATTAAACATAGTATATTCTTCCAAGCATTTTTGCATGCGGCCCACAATTATAAAGATAATATCTCCATCAGGGACAAATTTTAGACAGGTTTGCCAGCAGACCCCTTATCCTTAAGAAGGATTTCTAAGCTCCAGGGGTGCCTGGGTGGCTCAGTTGGTTAAGCTTCCGACTCTTGGTTTCAGCTCAGATCATGATCTCATGGTTTCATGAGTTTGAGCCCTGTGTCAGGCTCACACTGACAGTGCAGACCTGCTTGGGATTCTGTTTCCCACTCTCCACCCTTCTCTCACTCACTCTGTCTCTGGTCTATCTCAAAATAAAAAATAAATAAATAAAAAGAATTCCTAATCCCCAGTCCTTGGCTATGGCACAAACCAATGTGTGTGCAGAATCCACCTATGCTCCTCTGATCACCCCCGTGGGACTTGGAGGGCAAGGCAAACTGATGTGAATAGAAAACTCATGCTACCCGCTGTGCCATGAATAGTAAAATCCTGCCTCTGACCCAGGATCTGGTGTGTTCTGCCAGTACTCATGAAACTGGCCAGCTAACATTTGTTTGCAAGTCAGTAAAATCATAGACTGTTCAGAGTTCTTGACAAACAGCTAGACGCTGAGGTAGCACCTGGCCAGATGGTGCTGAGGTGGGTAAGGAGCTTGTTGCATGCAGAGACATGGTGGAGGACAGACCAGGACTGAGCTGAATTCTGGAGGAGAGTCGTAAGCTGTGGAGAAGCTGGATGCTTCTCCTAGATGGATCCCCCTCCAGTTACAAATTCATCCCACCCGCTGCTTGGGAAAATTCCTTTCACATCTCATGTCCCTCCCCATCCCACAAAGAGCTCTTCATCGTAGGTTCTCCCTCTGGGGAGAGTAAATTGTTCCCTGAGGTATCAGGGCAGACCCAAGGTGCCTCACAACCTTGAAATCACACTTGCTCCCTGGATTTTCTCCATGGCCTGAGCCCTAGCTCAGACCACATCTCTATTTGGACCCTCTCTACGTTATCCTCCCTTTAATTAGGGTCTTCCTATATGTCACCTCTCTGACCTCAGGATGTTCTTCCTTCCCAAGCATGCCTTTGCTTTAGCAGCAGTCACCTGGATGGCTGGAATTTCATTTTGCAACATAACTTGGTCACTCATAGTGGGGAGGGGCAGAGAGAGAGGAAGAGAGAATCTCAAGAAGGCTCCACACTGTCACCACAGAGCCTGAAGAGAGGCTCCATCCCATGAACCATGAGATCATGACCTGAGCCAAAATCAAGAGCTGGATGCTCAACTGACTGAGCCACCCCGGCGCCCCCCACATGGTAATATATTCTTTATCTAGGATTGCTACTCTGGTCCATTTAATGGGTGAACAGAAAAGCCGTTAGTTGGCAGTGGACCTCAGAACAAATGAAGGCTCAGCAAAAAGTCCAGTTAGCCACACAAGCTGCACTGTCACTTAGGCTGTATGAACCAAGAGATCCAAAGGTTGCATCACTCAGCCACTGTTGAAGGTCAAATCTGCCAGCAGCAAAAACCAACACTGAATCTCCAATAAGGCACCATTTTAAGGGCAACTACCCAGTCTCTTGTTGGTAGTCCTCTCATCATAAAAGGGCAAGTGTTTTCTTCCTACCGGAAGAGTCATTTACTCTGGTTAGGGAGCTCTCTACATACACTGACTCTGCCAAAGGAACCATCAATGAACTTACATAAAGCCTTATCCACGGTCATGGTATCGCACACAGCATTTCTTCTGATCAAGAATCTCATGGGCCCCTGAGTGGCTCAGTAGGTTGAGCGTCCCACTCGATTTCAGCTCAGGTCATAAGGGCAGAGGAGTAGAAGGGGTTCTGGGAAAATGTATGAGAGTTGTTGGGAAGGGTCTGGAATTCTAGAACCATCCCTGGTATTGTGGGTTGGTGGCATGTCCTGGGTGGGGAGGCTATGCTGAGACCAGAGCCAACCACAGGAATCAGTCAGGAAACAAGAAGGCAGCATCTGGGGC